ATTTTCAGAGAAAACGTAGTAGCATTACCTTAACATTTATGATTTTCACACTTGTTCAAAGGTAATGCAAATAAGTAGCACAGCTGTGCCTCTCAAAAGGATTTCCATTTGTAAAAAATAGACAAATAGGTTTTTATTGGAGTCTCTAAGTCAAAAGTTACTGAAGATAAATCGCTAGTTTAGCGCTATTCGCAGTAGTCGATTGTTCATAAGAGCACTTTCATTGAATACCTAGTAATATGGTGCTGGTTGAGCTCTATTTATGTTTCTGTGTATTTCATGAACGACTATCCCATCTAAAAGATTTAGTTAAAGCGATAATTAGCTGAGTTTACACGAGGGTCTCCAATTCGCTTCGACGACTAATTGTTTCAATTTCACTCTAGCAAATTTCTACGCCATATTGGCACAGTGAGGGCCAGAAGTGCATGTCCTCTTTTACCCCAACTTAGTTTTTCTTCTTTTTCTGACGACATGGACATAATACTCGTATTGAAGTTCTTGGTGGATACACATCCATTTACTGTGTTATACTGCAGAAGGCACTGTGTTTGCTGTACGAAGCCTGTTTCTGCTTTCTTTCTTGATATTTTGTTTAGAGGCTATTGCTTATTAGGTGTCGAACTTGTATGCAGTAGCTATTTTCTTAGATGCCTAACGTAAGCAGTAGGGCAGAATGTGGCGTTTCAGACCTGATGACAGTGTTACGGTATCTTCATTATAAATTGCTACCATGTAGTACGTGCCTTGACTAAATCCGAATTGTAGAATCTTTTTTGTGGTTTTAACTCTCTTGCATCCCTGCTTGGATCGAACTTTATCAATTACAATCACGACCGAAATCGTTGTTCTCTCACTTCTGTGAATGGATATAGAAGCAAATATAAGCTGTAAACATACATAGAATCCGCTTTTTTGCGGAATTTATGACCAAACGCAAATCTCTTCTTCTAATCTTTTTTTTCCCCAACAAAGCTAATCGCGAAATGGATGCTTTTACCGAATTGATCATTCTGCATTTGGTTGCAGGAACATAACTGCGAATTTTCGTGATTTTTTTAAAGTTTAACAAGACGACTCACCATCTTTTGCCATTGAAACCTTCAGTAATAAGTTCCTCAATTAAAAAAATGAAAAGTGAAGCGTGATAATCTATTTTAAACATATGGCAACCATTCTAAGTGCAAAAAGTCGCTCGGAAATCTTGCAACCACTTTTCACCTGCAGGGCGTGTCACAAAGATCGTGACTTTTCCATCCCAGGGAATTTCCAGGAATTGGGATGTGCAAGTTCACGAAACTTTTCTTTCTTATATGAGTGCATAGCACCTAGTTTTGCTGATTAATTTAGTATCTCGAAGAGCTGTCGATAAGAGAGAAGGAACACAAGAATGCAGTAGTAGTCAATTTTGTCAAACTTTTAGGAAATTATCTAATTTTAGGGTATCTGTAAGAGAACCTTGTTTTCTTTACGACAAAAAACTACGATAGACTACTTTACACCGAGCGGCACAGAAGAGTGTTTTGAAGCACATTATTTGTTGCTATTATGGAGATGTAAAGATGCGCGGGTATAAGAAGGAAGTTTATTTCCTGGAAGGGTGGTTCAAGAGAATCCTACTCCTCAGTCCACATTCCTTGTAAAACCCACCCCTCAATCGTACTGCTCATGACAAAAGCAGTGTCATTAGTCCAGTAAGCAATGTAACCTATTTTATCATGAGAATATTCAATGCTTCTGTCTCTTCTACGCATTCCTTATTCTTCTCCTCCGCGATTCTCTCGCGCCGAAGTCATACTGACGAGCGAATACATTTTTTTTCTCACGTGCGTGATGCCCGCATCTTTTTTCTCAGACTTGATTCCAGCTTTTTCTTCCATGGGAACGGCGCATTTTGTGAATGGGTGGGCTGTGGTGTTCATGTATATTCTCACATCTACAGGGATGCACGACAGAAAGAAGATAGCCCCCTAACCTAGGAAACCTTCGCTATCCATAGGTTCTCTCACTGGAAAAATGAGTGATTACCTCTTTTTCCCCCAAACAAGTCTCATTTCCTCACTTAGCCATTCCCATAGTGCACTTTCATCTACAACTTCTAAAGTTTTGATTTTCGCGCGGGGTGCAGCTTCAGTGTTTCGCGCCAAAAAACGAGTTCTCATCGAAGGCCTTTGTGATATCATCCTCACGATGTTTACAAGTACACCTAGAACCGGAAAGAGTCGATCGCCGCTGGGTTCCTCCGCATGGTTAGCAACCGGTTCAGTTCAATTCCAGGCATCAAGCAACGAAAATTACATGAACGGCATGTGCAGGCTTGTGTAGTTTGTTGTAGGAAATGGTCCGCAGAAGCTCATTTAGCCGTTTTGCTCGGGATAATGCCTTGTCAATCCCTTGCCTTTACTTACTTCAAACATTAAAATATATATC